CTACAGCTCACAAGAATCAGCATTTGGTTGTATCACAGTGGTAAAGATACACAGCGGGATGATAAGGGGAAAGACACAGGCAGAGTCTGGAGAAATCCATATGCATGCTCCCTTATGCTTTCTCCCTCCCATGAAGTGCCAGAGAACACACACTTCCCTAGCAACGGAAAAGCAGCAACATGTACACAACAGTTCTCACCAGGAGAGCCAATTATAGACACTCAGCACCCAAGGTATTTATCAGGCACACTCTACCTAGCATGTACCAAAATTCCAGACTCCCCAAAAGAAAGCAGATGTTCATGTTTGTACAAATAGACCAGGCATAGTAAATATCCCTTACTGTTTAGGAAATGGTTCAAGTATCAAGTTCCCCGACTCCAGCCAAGTGCTACTCTTGTAGGCAGACCTAAGGATAGCAGTCTCACACTTGCTATGTTAAATATTTTCTGCATATACTTTATTAGCATATTTTAATGATATTAGCATTTTTGAGATGAAGTTTTGCTCTTGTTGCCCACGCTGGAGCACAATGGCGTAATCTCAGCTCACTATAACCTCTCCCTCCTAGGTTCAAGCGATTCTCCTGCCTCAGCCACCCTAGTAGCTGAGATTATAGGCCCCTGCCACCATACCTGGCTAATTTTTGTATATTTAGTAGAGACGGGGTCTCACCACATTGACCAGGCTGGTCTTGAACTCCTGACCTCAGGTGATCCACCTAACTTGGCCTCTCAAAGTGCTGGGATTACAGGCGTGAGCCACCGCACCCAGCCTAATTTTTTTCTTAATAAATCTTTTTTTAAATGTTGCTCATGTGATTATTGCTTATTTACCTATTTATTAAATAAATATTTACTGAGTTCTTATTCAATAACTGTATTAGATGCTGAAAACAAAATGGCGAAAACATATAGTGCTTGAACTCACAGAGCCTGCAGTCTACTGGGGAAACCATTATCACTAAACAAAGGTATGACTGATTACAAAGTGTGATAAGCAGTATGAAATGGCATATTTTTATCACATTATCACCTGTGTGCCCAAAACACTGAATCTTCAAATCTGTTGCCTTCTCAAGCACTCATGCCCAAAAACTAAACATAACTTTTTTGTCACCAGGCAATGAAGCTACATAAGTGGCCTTCCTTTCTCAATCAAATCATCTTAGATCGAAGGAGAATGAGAGGGCCTGTAAAGCTAGGGAAGTCCATTCTCTATAGATAAACCTCCACCTCGCACAACCTAATCTTTATGAAACTGAGTTACTGCCTCAGATGTGGAAGCCAACAGTACTCTTTAACCTTCACTACCTACTTAGTGTTTTCTTCCCAGACTCCTAAAGAATAGGACTTGTCTACATGAAAAATAATAAGATTCAGAAAATTTATACATACTTCGATGAAAAGGGCATCCTTTGAAATGGAGAGGTTTTCCAGTCGTGGGTCCAATGCCTTTTTCTCCTGTACACAGTGCACGAAAATTTTCCGCAGTTTTGGGTACAATATCTGCAAACAATTCTAAGACTATTCGACCCACTAAAAGAAAAGAAAATCTTGTCAGTTTGCAAAAGAACCAAATAGGCAAGTGATAAAAGGCTGGTATAACCATGGTAGCAGATCAATCATGAATTACCAAGTTCCCTTTTATTGTCATTTCTTTTTTTTTTTTTTTTTTTTTTGAGATGGAGTTTCGCTCTTGTTGCCCAGGCTGGAGTGCAATGGCACGATCTCGGCTTACCGCAACCTCCGCCTCCTGGGTTAAGGCAATTCTCCTGCCTCAGCCTCCTGAGTAGCTGGGATTACAGGCACGCGCCACCATGCCCAGCTAATTTTTTGTATTTTTAGTAGAGACGGGGTTTCACCATGTTGACCAGGATGGTCTCGGACCTTGTGATCCACCCGCCTGGGCCTCCCAAAGTGCTGGGATTACAGGAGTGAGCCACCGCGCCCAGCCTGTTTTTTTTTTTTTTTTTTTTTTTTGCAATTTCAAGGACACAACACATTGTTATTAACTATAGTCACTATGTTATACTATAGATCTCTTGAACTTACTCCTGCTTTCTCACTGAAATTAGGTCTCCTGTAATCAATATCTACCCAACCCCTGAAGTCCACCATTCCATTCTCTAATTCAAGGTCAACTTTTTTAGAATCCACATATAAGTGAGATCATGCAGTATTTGTCTTCCTGTGCCCGGCTTATTTGATGTAACATAATGTCCTCCATGTTAATTCATGTTGTGAAAAGTAAAAAGATTTAATTCTTTTCTATGGGTGAATAGCACTCCATTGTGCGCATATACCACATTTTTTTAAAAATCCATCTGTAGTTGGAAACTTAGTTTGATTCCATTATCTTGGCTATCATGAATAATGTTGCAATGAACATGGGAGTGCAGATACCTCTTTGACATACTAACTTAATTTCCTTTGAATATACTCACTAGTAGAATTGGTGAACCTTAGCGGCATTCTCCTAACATTCAAATGTAGTCTATCTACTGTCATGTATTTATGTAAACAGATTTGAAACATCATACAAAGGATCATAACCAATTATACTAACAGAAAATTAGCACCATGTAATGGATATCATTAAATACAAATAGATTTAAATCTGGAGTAATTTCTTCAAGAGGTACTGAGAATTTCCAATCACCAAGCAACCAACAGGAGAAAATGAAACAGCCTTTGGGAAGTCGGACTGGCCACGTGTTAGGTATACCTGCAGCCTTTGTGCTCTGTGCAAACTGCCTAGCGCAGCTTTTGAAGCAAAAGCTGTAAAAGTTCCTCCTATAGACAGCACCTAAGACAGGTGAGAACAAACCTAGTCATAGCTAGTTGCAACAAACTGAATATACGTGTAAACGTGTGTGTGTCCTGTACAACCATTCAAACACACTGTATGGTCAGCAATTCTAACATGTTCCCGAACAAGGCCAATCCAGTTACAAAACAACACGCTTTCTAATTCACCAGGCATTAGGTAACTTCTGAGCAGCTACGTCACCTAGGCAACAACATCACTACGTTGAGCGCATTTTCCCAACGGCAAATCAGAGAAAATGTTTGCCCGTCTGAATGGACCTCTAAGTTAAGAATCAGTAATAAGGCAAAAGCTATGAGCAAACAAGTCCCTTTAACGTATAAATAACACAGCAGGTGCTGATATATTATCTCATGTGGCAAACACAGTTCCCTGGGGCCCAGCAGACAAATATTCCGGTATATGTTTTCTGAACTGTCTCACTGCAAACATAAAAGAATCTCATTTCATGCTACATGGTGGTGCAAAGGTGGCGGGGAAGTGCAACCAAATCAGGAGACGCAAACCTAAAGGTCACGAATCTCAAACTAGAAATTTCCAGAAACTTCCGCATGACCGATGGCACTGATACAAGGGTGCTAAATCAATCTAGCCCTAGGTGCCCGGGCTTGTCCCGGCGGAACAGCCTGGGCAGCCTAGGCTGCCTCCGCAACACTGAGCAGCCACTGGCCGGAGCCTCAATCTAACCTTGGAATCCCCCAAATCCTGGGAACCCCCGCCTCCTCCGGGCCTTTCAGCGCGCGTCAGACTCAGCTCACCTCGCTCCCCTCCGATGTCCACGTCAAAGAAGACTCGAGGGTTACTGGGGTTGGAGGGCTTGGCTTGGGGGGACGGGTGCGACATCTCGACTTGCAGACGCGTTTGCAGGCAGGATCCGGGAACCTCGTGGCAGCCCAGCAGCTCAAACTCTAACGCGCCTGTCCCCCGCCAGAGACTGGCTGCAACGCTGACCGGCCACTTCCGGCGTGAGGCCCGGAAGCCGCGACCTGACTTCCGGCACCGCCCCACTCCTCCGCGCGACGTTTCAACGCGTCTGAGCGAGTCGTGTGCCCTTCGCCCGCTCTCCCTTACTTCTTATTTAGTGGAGTTACGATTCTCATTCTTCTCGCTTGTGTTTCATTGACTTTCCTACATTCGTGGCGTAGAGCTTTAGAGTCAGCCCCATACCAGCCTCAGCTCTGCCCCCAACTGGGGTGTGACTTCTCCGAAACTCAGTTTGCTCGTCTGGAAAAAGAATAAAAACGCTGACCTTGTTAGGTCGTTTTGAGGATTAAAGACATGAATTAGTACAGTGCCTAGCACAAACTGGTGGTTCCTAACCAATAGGAGCCTTATTATTGCCATGTCGTTAAAATTTGATCTTCACATTACAGTGTAACTGATACGGGTTAGACTAAACGCTCCAAACAGCTAAAGCTGAGAGTCCAGAAGAGAGCACTTTTTGATTCCAGATGAAACTATTTGGCCAGGCGTGGTGGCTCACGCCTGTAATCCCAGCACTTTAGGAGTTTGAGGCGGGCGGATCACGAGGTCAGGAAATCGAGACCATCCTGGCCAACATGGTGAAACCCCGTCTCTACTAAAATACAAAAAATTAGCCGGCCTAGTGGTGCGTGCCTGTAATCCCAGCTACCTGGGAGGCTGAGGCAGGAGAATTGCTTGAAAACGGAAGTTGCATTGAGCCGGGATTGCAGCACTGCACTCCGGCCTGGCGAGAGAGTCAGACTCCGTCTCGAAAAAAGGAAACAGAAAAAGTAAAAGTTTAATTACATGTATAACTAGGTATTCATTTAAAAAAAAAAAAAAAACAATTTGTTGGCAGGGCACGGTGGCTCATGCCTCTAATCCCAACACTTTGGGAGGCCAAGGTAAGTGGAAGGCTTGAGCCTAGGAATTCAAGACCAGCCTAGACAACATGGCGAAACCCCATCTCTACAAAATATATTTTTTTAACAATAAATAAATAAATTAAACTAATTTGTAGAGTCGTTTTTAATTTAAATACCAACATACCTTTTGCAAAAAAAATAAGGTGTTGGTGAAATTTTAGAAGAAATCAGTAAGTTTTGTTCTAAGGATATTATATTGATTGAATTTTTCTTTGTAGTCACTAAGTTGCCTCATTAACAAAGTTGATTCAATTATATGACAAATATTTAGCTCTTCCTATTATTATATGCCAGTTTCTATTCTGAGTGCTGATGATACAATGATGAAAAAACATAATCTTGATCCTTTTTTTTTTTTTTTTTTGAGACAGGGTCTTGTGCTATCACCCAAGCTGGAGTGCAGTGGTGCAATCACAGTTCATTGTAGCCTTGACCTTCTGGGCCTAGTGATCCTCCCACTTCAGCCACCTGAGTACCTGATACTACAGGCACATGCCACCATGCACAGGTAACTTTTGTATTTTTAGTAGAGATGAGGTTTCTCCATGTTTCCCAGGCTGGTCTTGAACTCCTAGGCTCAAGCAGTCTGCCCACCGTGGCCTCCAAGAGTGTTGCAAGCCTGAGCCACCACACCTGGTGCCTTATTTTTAATTACACAAATTATACAGTCTTATGGGGGAGAAAAACAATTGAATAAAACTCTACAATGCAATATAATTAGTGTTTTAATAGGAAAAAGTCACATTCAGCATAGGATTCAGCACAGTCCTATTCATTTTAATAGGAAAAAGACAAACACTGCAGGGCCACTGAACACAGCAGCCTTTTCTAAGATCAGAAATATGAGTAAGATCAGTCACAGGAGTGTATGTGGCAAGTAAGACAGGAAATGAGGGAGTAGGTGAAGAGCCTCTTCAAAGCAGGAGGAGCTGCATATACTTATAAAGTGAAAATGGGCAACAAGAATGTTATTTCTCCATGAGAAGCCAGTTTTTTAGATAGTACTGCTACTTCAGGTGGGTCTGGACCACTAGTCTATTAGTTCATTTTCACACTGCTATCAAGGAATATCCGAGACTGGTATTTATAAAGGAAGGAAGTTTGATTGACTCACAGTTCCACATGGCTCAGGAGGCCTCCGGAAACTAACAATCATGGCGGAAGGTGAAAGGGAAGCACGCTTGGACCTTCTCACATGGCTGCACAAGATAGAAGAGTGAAGAGCAAAGGGGAAACAGCCCCTTATAAAACTATCAGATCTCATGAGAACTCACTATCACAAGAACAGCATGGGGGAAACCACCTCTATGATCCCTAGACACATGGGGATCCTGGGGATTACAACTCAAGATGAGATTTGGGTTGGGACACAGAGCCCAACCACATCAACTGGTTTTCAATGTTGAAATCGGAAGTCTTTGGTTTGTATTTTTGTCCAGCTCCTTCAGACTGAATTTTCAGAATGTGAAGCAGTTGTATAACCTAGCCCATTTTATCCCTGAAATAGAAATAAAAAGGAATGATAAGAGGAACAAACTCAAAAGGCACCCCTAATTTATTTGTCCATAGCACTTATAACTTTGTAATATGCTGTTTACTTATTTATTTCACCTGCTCATTAAAAATCAGCTCCTTGGGAATGATAGTAGGAGGAGTTTAAAAAAACAAAATTTAGCTCCACAAGGACAAGAACCTTTGTTTTTTTCATTACTTTTATCCCCAGCACTTCTAACACTGCCTAACACAGTAGGTACTCAGTAAATATTCTTGAATGCATGAATGATTTACACAAAATACTAATGGCTCTGAGAATTTTATAAAATAATGTTAACAAGAAATTTTATTTCCAAATTGTATTTCAAAATGATGATCAGATTTCCATGCTGATCCTTGCAAATTCCAGCACATTAAAATTAATATAAAATGTTAAATTTTATTTTCTCCAATTCCTGGTGTTTATTCATGGTATTTATTCATCATTCCCTGAAGATCCAGGATGGGTCAGAACAAAACCTCTGTGTCCTTTGATAAACAAGAGCATCAAAATCATTCATTAATCCAGTTTCATGTCTGGGCTGCAAATTGGTAACTTATACTTGGTCTCATATATATCACAATAAATTCACATTAACATTTTTCTTCTGATCTAGTAGCTTAAATTTAACATGTTATTACAAGAATTGTCACTCATATGCCATAGCTTCTCAAACATTATCATGATGAGTATACTTAGGTAAGCACATTTTCTCTGCCATCAGAATTCTGGGGTTCATATTCAGTCTCTAACATAATAGTTTGTGACTTTGGATGAGTTACTTAGCCTCTCTGTGCCTCACTTTCCTCACTTATAAATTAGCATAATAATATGTATCTCCTGAGATTATTATGAAGATTAAATGAAGAGGATTAAATAAAAATGTTTTAGTATCTGACACATAGTAAGTACTCAATAAGTATAAGAAATTATTATTAACCATAAGTAGCTTATCCTTTGTTATAGTAGTTACTGACATCAACATATTTTAAAATGGATGTTAAAGCTTCAAAGGGGTTTTGAGGATTCCTTTGCATTCTTACAAGGAAAAAAAAGGGCTCTTCCTGCTATACAGGCTTCTGGGTATAAAAGATTAATTCAAATGTTACTCTCACTGTGTCTAGGTTTTTCACAGTAAAGCAACAGCTTTATATAAAATGTAATATTCCTAGAACCAAATCAAATAAAAGAATTGTACCTTTCAAAACCACTCAGAACTGGATCTCTAGTGAAAAGATAAACCTCCTAGAAGACACTTGTCCTACTGTCAGTCTGCTTACGTGGAATAGGACCTGAGTTCTGACATCTCGTCTGTGCTTAGCAAGGAACAGAGCAGAAGAGACAAAAGCATGCGGTTTCTTAGGGCTGAGGACACAGTTTCAGCCAGATGGAGTGGGGAATTTTCCTCTGATAGCCTTGTTGTTAAAATTTCTATCTGTTGCTCATAAGTGTGGTAGAATGATATTAATAGATTGCCTTCCTTCCCAATATTTTCTTCTCTCAATCTCATTGCCCATTACTGCACCCCAAACAAGCAGCTAGGCATTCTGTGCTCTGCTTTCAAAGAAAGAAGTGACAGCAAGGAAAGCACAGAGAACAAAGGCAATCTCTTCCTGGCTTTGGTGCTGCAAAAGGTTTGGCTTTACAGAAACAGATAAGACTCTTGGCATAGCAAAAGATTTGGACAAAACATCTTTTGTAAGATCATGGCTTTCCATTCTCAGAAAAAAAAAGAAAAAAGAAAAGAAAATCCACTTTCTACATTGGGAGAAGACAAGATTGTGGATGGTGCACAGGGGAAAGTAAGAGAGGAGGCAGTGGCAAGGCAGATTTCCACAGTCCCAGGGACAGGGAGTCTTACCATGGTCCTTGTCACACACCTGGGAAGCCACCAAACTTCTGTAGATGGGTTTGTGAGATACAGGAGCAGAGGGACATGTTCCCTGATTCCTGAACTGTCTCAGGAAGGCAATAGGCCCCAGAAAGAGAACATGATTCATGATATGAGTAGGTAATTGGGAACTAGACGGGGACCAAGAGATTTTGTTGCCCTAACTTGAAGTGGAAATAAACAAATATCCCTGTGACCTATGTTTGGCATGGAAAAGAAAAGGCAACCTCTACATTTAAAGGGAGCTTGTGGAATGGAACTCTGAACTCATTCGAGGTTTGTGAGAACTGATAAGTGAGTTAACATCATGAATTTCTCACTGGATGCCTGTGTAGACAGATCATATTGAGAACCAGAGGCTCCCAACCCCCAAATTTGCTGTTATATTAGGGCTTTTTGAATTTAGATCCAACCCCAAGGGAGAAAAAAGAAAAATACCAGAAATAGACACGGTTCATGATATTACCAGACCTTCAAAACAGACAATTCAAAATTGAATTTCAGAGGAGTTACAGAAAAATAAAGTTGTATTTCATACACATCTAACTTTATTCCTTTACATGGGCATAGTTGTAGATCACTGAGGTCCTTACTAGGATCCCAGACAAATCTGAAGTCACATCCAACCCCTTTGTCAAAGATAAGGAATTAGGAAGGACATCAGAGTTAGAGGAAATTCTAGGATCCTGTCTGTAGAATCAGACTCTGGAACCACAGACAGAACTCCAAAGAACAAGTTAGCATGTAACTCCTTAAAGAGGAGATGAAATGATTCTGCTCCTTCCTAGAGGAAGCACTGGCGTTGATGAGACAGTAACATATAGGGAGAGATTCCTAACCAAGAATCCCTGCTCTGAACCACATAGAGAAAGAGTTGCTTCTACTACAAGAGTCATAATTTCAGATCAGAATGAGATAACAACTCTCAGGTTTTGCCTGCTATAAAATTTACAAATATCTAAGGATAACTGTAGGTCTTCTGAGCCAGAACAACGAATAAATGAAAGGCAAATGCCACCAGGGGACAGCAGAATCTCCACCACTGGCAGAAATCATCGCACACACAGACAGAAGTGGTGCAGTGGACTTTGTGCCTGAGGACTCCCAACAGGATAAGCTTCTTCATCTAGGAACTGGAAGTGACGTGGCAAAAAAAGAATATTGATTATCAGTTCACAATAGCACCAGGTAGACAGGGCTTATGTGCAATAAGGAGCAACACTAAAATCCTTCTGAAGAGCAGTGAGAGTATTTTCTTCTCTGCAGAGTAATAGAATTAATGTTTACTGTTTTCAGTTGGAAAAGTGTATTTAACCATATTTGATAGAACAAAACCAAGGATAGACTTGTTCAAATCCTCAGTACTCTTTTCTCAAAGAAAAACAAAATTACATAAACCTAAAAGTCACAATGACTTCGTGACTATCATAAGCAAAAACAGTGATAGCTAGCACCTATCAATCACTACTACGTGCCACACTTATTCTAGGTACTTTACATACTTTATCTTATTTAGTCCTCAAAATAACTTTGGAATATAGGTTATTTTTCTTACAAGGCAATTAAGGGTTAGAAAGGTGAAAAAAGTTGCCCACTATGATTCTAAAACCACTTCTACCATCCTAGAAAAATATAATCTAACAATCCTGATAGGTTTAAATATTTGTTTTAAAATGTCATGGTATATAAAGGGCTCCTGAGCTCCTTCTGACACTAATGCTGGAGTTGTTTCATCCCTATGTAATTTGGTTTTGATCTATTATCATAAAATGTTTCAGGTTTTTATACCTTTTGTAAGATATTCTGTATTTGTAGAATGTGAATAAAGGCAAATAAAACATTTTTTCCATAGAAAATAAAAACAATAATAAAATTTCCTACAAATCACTTTGCATGGAGTGAGAAAGGTTAGAGAATTAGCGCCAATCTTTTGGCATCTCCATGAACTTCCCTAATTCTGGGCAGAGATTGAAACTGAAAGAAACAAACAGATATGCAAGTAGCAGAAGCTGGTGTCTCTGAAAAAGAGTTATGCTAAGTAGAAGAGCTTATATAGAGAGGATCTATTAGGGCATATTGATTGAAAAGGGTTTTCAGCAGGGTTGACATGAAAAGATTTGCATGTTTAAAAGACTATTCTGGGCTGGGCGTCATGCCTCATGCCTATAGTCCCAGCACTTTGGGAGGCCCAGGCAGGCAGATCGCCTGAGGTCAGGAGTTCAAGACCAGCCTGGCCAACATGACGAAACCCCATCTCTACAAAAAAATACAAAAATTAGCAGGGCATTGTGGTGGGCACCTGTAATCCCAGCTACTTGGGAGGCTGAGACAGAAGAATCACTTTAACCCAGGAGGCAGAGGTTGCAGTGAGCTGAGATCACACCACTGCACTCCAACCTGGGTAACAGAGTGAGACTCTGTCAAAAAAAAAAAAAAAAAAAGACTATTCTGGTGCTAATGGAAAACAAAATGGAGGGGACCCATAACAGATTTAAAGAAGACACTGAGCAGGTGAGAGATGACACTGTATAAAGTTGTGATAGTAAAGATGGACAAAAATGGATGGATAGGAAAGGCATAGGGGTGGTAAAATCAACAGTAATAAGTGTTGGACTGGATGTGGGATATGACTGTGCAGAATGGAAAAAGGATGACATCTGGCTTCCTAAGGTACACAATTGGATGTATGGTGAGGCTGTTTACTGAGATGAGGGACACTGGAAGAAAAAGCTAGATTTAAGTGTAATATCATCACTTTGGTCTCAGACATGTTGAGTTCGAGGTACCTGTGAGACACCAAATAGAGATACTGAGTAGTCAGTTGCATATATAAAGGGAAAGGTCTAAGACTGAGACATAAATTTAGGTGTCATTGGTATACAGATGATAATTTAATGGGGAAAGTTGTGATAGTTGAGCAAAGAGAGTAGAGGGTGAATAGAGAAAAGATCGTATGACAGAGCCTTGAGAAACTGTACTTTTTAAAGGCCAAGAGGAATGAAGAATGAGTCTGCAATGGAGGCACAGAACAAGAGTAGAAAGACAAGCCAGGAAGAGAATGTGGTATTATGACATTGAAGGAAAAAAAGAATGTTTCAAGGAGAGAGTGATAAACAAGATGACTAAGAAATTAAGCAAAAAGAGGACTGATAGATATCCATTGAATGTAGTGGCATGGGGGTAATGAATGAGCTTGCTGAGATGTTAAAAATGAATGGTATTATATCTCAAACAAAACAACCTCTGAGTTTTCATTTTTTACATTTCTAGTCTTAACATTTATTCCTAGTAATCTTACTATTATAATACCCTTAAATTTTACTGAAAATCATGCATACAATTTAAAAATCCTATAAACCTAAAAATGTCCTCTTAATAATAGAGAGTTTTATTCCATGAGATTCCGTTTCTTTGGCAGAATGATTTCTGGGAATTAAAGATACAAAAGCGAACATTACTCCATACCTACTGTGTGCCAGATGCTTTCACATATAAGTACCTTCTGTATCCTAATGCCAGTATTAACCATCCTAGATAAGTACTGATTACTAACAGTTTGAATTTCATAACAGCTTGATTTTTAGCAGTTTGAATTTGATTGGTAATAGTTTGAATTTCAGGGAAAATGGATTGGCACATCGGAATTTGAGTCCTCTTTCCAATATCACATCCCACCAAAGTCAATATATCCCAACATGAACTCTCATCTATACCCCACACTCAAATTACCTTCTCCTGTTTCCTTCTCTATTTTCATTAACGGTAACTTGATCTGGAAAGCCTTAAGATCTCAATCTACTTCTGCATACAGTAGACCTCAGGAACGTTCACTGTCACAGTCTGTCAATTCTTCTTGTATAATGTCTCTCAAATTTTTCTCCCTTCTGTTCAGGAAATTTCACACATAAACAAAATGGTCTTAATGGTTTTTCATCTCTACGGTTTCTCTACATTATAAGAGAAACATTAAATAATATAATGGGCAGCATTCTTGATAATATCAAATCACAGAATTACTCCTCCCCAAGGTATTTTCTTGTACTAACCATCAGCAACAAACAAATGAATATATTATTTTTATAGGTGGCCAAATAGTTGTATTTGTATTTGTCTAGTTGTATAGACTAGACTATTTGTCTAGTTGTATTTGTAGTTGTCTAGTTGTATAGATTTCTAGAATTCAAATTTGAAGGCTGAATAAGTTTAGTGAAACCACAGGGCTTAATGGTTATCAGGTTCCTCATGCAATTCCCCCTGACTTTTACCTGTTCAGTTGAGCCTTTTTTTTTTTTTGAGATGGAGTCTTGCTCTGTTACCCAGACTGGAGTGCAATGGCACAATCTTGGCTCACTGAAATCTCCGTCTCCTGGGTTCAAGCAATTCTCCCACCTCAGCCTCCTGAGTAGGTGGGATTACAGGTGCATGCCGCCACATCTGGCTAATTTTTGTATTTTTAGTAGAAATGGAGTTTCACCATATTGGCCAGGCTGGTCTCAAACTCCTGACTTCAAGTGATCCGCTTGCCTCGGCCTCCGAAAGTACTGGGATTACAGGCATAAGCCTGTATCTTATGTAATAATTGAGATGACTAGTGACAATAAGAAATTCAAGATTTCTATGCTGTCAACTAAAGAGTCATTTATGTGCCCTGGATACTAGTGAGCAGCCAAAAAAAAAAATGAGTTTGTATTGTTGCCCACTGAAAGGAATATCTCACTTAGAAGGAGGATTTCATTGAGGGTTTTGACATTTCTCAAATTGCAGCAACGGATGTGTTTAAATTGTGGAACTCTGTTGGGGCTCCGGAAATCTGTGCAAACCATCATAAAAAAAAAAGTTGACCACCATTTCACAATGTATATGTGTATCAAAACACCATATTGTACACCACAAATATATAAAAGTTTTCTTTGTCAATTTAAAAAAGTAGACCTTGGCTACTAAAACTGTGAGGTGGGAAAATACATCATACATGCTCAAGTGGTGCTGTCAAAGAGGTATGCAGAGAAAGTTATTCCTCCCCTCCTTTTAAGCATAAACAAAATGGTATGTTAACAAAAATTGGGAATTACGGCTTGTTGTTTTTTTTTTTTACAAAAGTGCAATTATTTATCCTGTGATATGTTTTTCTCAATTACTATACAATGGACAGACATCCAGTTCAACTGACACAGATATGATCATTTGTTTTTAATAGATGGGATAGTTTCATTGCAGGAATGTACCAATGTTATTCAACTGTTTCTTTCCAGGCGGACCTTTAGTTTGGTTTAAGTTTTTGATAGTACAAATAAAGCTAAAATAAACATTTCATGTATATAAAAAGCAAAAACATACTTGTGAGGCTGGTATTATGCTCCTATTTCACAAAGGAGGAAAAAAGTTACCCCATAGCCAAATTGTCACAGCTACTCTTATTTCTACAGCAGACTGTAAAATATGCCCTCTTAGGTCCTTAAAAGCATTAATCTAACAGTCTGTCTAAATGTTTGGGGACATCTGTCAAAAATGACAATTTTGTTTTGCTCATTAGTGATAAGAGTTGTTGCTCCTGAAAAAAATTAGCCAACAGGGTCAATTATTTCTTGAACATTTCCTTAAAAGTGATCATGGGACCATATTGTTGGAAGGAGACTACATGTTCAGCTCTCTCTCTCTCTCTCTCTCACACACACACACACACACACACACACACACACCATTTAAGCTTAAAATGGGCAATTTAGATCATAATTGTGTATTATGAAATTAATTTCAAATTTGATTTTGGAAAACAGAATTCCTCTATAGTCTAATTCTTGAGATATGCTGGATAAAGACTTTCTACACTCTTCATTTGATTTACTTTTATATTAAATTAAAATATCCAAATATTAAAATATAGTAACAATATTTGCTGAAGTAATTTCATTAGGATGTAACATATCTTCTGCGAAAAATCTGTCTTTATTCAGCAAATATTATTGAGTACCTAATACATGTTGGGCTGCGCACATAGTTTTAACAGTGAAAAACAGTTTTGTTGCTTTGGAGTAGTTCACTGTTTACTGAAAAAGAGTGTTATAAATGGAGGTAGTATTAAGAACTGGCCAGGTGCAATGGCTCACACCTGTAATTCCAGCACTTTGGGAGGCTGAGGTGGGCAGATCATGAGGTCAGGAGTTTGAGGCCAACCTGGCCAATATGGTGAAACCCCATCTCTACAAAAAATATGAAAATTAGCCAGGTGTGGTGGCACATGCCTGTAGTCCCACCTACTCGGGAGGCTGAGGCAGAAGAACTGCTTGAACCCAGGAGACAAAAGTTGCAGTGAGCTGAGATCACACCACTGCACTCCAGCCTGGGGGACAGAGCAAGAATCCATCTCAAAAAAGAGTAGAATCATGGGAGAAAAATTGGTGATCCAACTTTGGAGGTTTCTAACAATTTAATAGGAGGTGTGCTATTTGATCTAAATGTTCTTAAATGTTGGAAAATACTAAGCTACCAAATTAGAGTCTAGAGGGACACATGCTAACATCATATATGTAACATGGCCTAAAAACTGTTTATATTAGTCCATTCTCACGCTGCTAATAAAAACATTCCTGAGACTGGGTAATTTATAAAGGAAAGAGGTTTGGCCAGGCTCACACCTATAATATCAGCACTTTAGGGGGCCAAGGTGGATGGATCACTTGATACCAGGAGTTCAAGACCAGCCTGGCCAGCATGGTAAAACCCCATCTCTACTAAACATGCAAAATTAGCCAGGTGTAGTGATGCATGCCTATAGTCCCAGCTACTCGGGGGGTTGAGGTGGGAGAATATCTTGAGCCCAGGAGTTCAAGGCTGTAGTGACCTATGACTATGACAGTGAACCCCAGCCTGGGCAACAAAGTGAGACTCTGTCTCCAGAAAAAAAAAAAAAGGAAAGAGGTTTAATTGACTCACAGTTCAGCATGGTTGGGGAGGCCTCAGGAAACTTACGATTCTGGCAGAAGGGGAAGCAAACACATCCTTCTTCACATGGCAGCAGCAAGAAGAAATATTAGTGCCCAGCTAAGGGGGTAGCCCCTTATAAAACCATCAGATCCTGTGAGAACTAACTCACTATCACGAGAACAAGATGGGCAAAACCACCTCCATGATTCAATTCTCTCCACTTGGTCCTTCCCACGACACATGGAGATTATGAAAACTCAGGATAAGATCTGGGTGGTGATGCACACAAACTGTATCACTGTTTATGTCTACGAAATTAAAAACTGATAAAAGAAGTGAAGCTGTTACTACCAAAGTGTACGGGAGAACAAAATAGAATGTTAATAAGGGAATATCTGATAAAAGTGAGAAACCTATATGCATAGCTGATTGAAAAAAAGCTAGAACAGCTTGATGGTCTAAATACATATAAGTCAAATGGAAAAAGAAGTCAGGCATGGTGGTATATACCTGTAGTTCCAGCTATTCAGGAGGCTGAGGCGGGATCACTTGAGGCCAGGAGTTCAAGGCTGCAGTGCACTATGAAAGCACTTGTGAGTAGCCACTCACTCCAGCCTGGGCAACATAGTGAGACTTGTCAGAAGGAAGGAAGGGAGGGAGGGAAAGAAAAAGAAAGAAAGAACAGAAGGAAAGAAGGATGGAGGGAGGTAGGAATGGAAGAAAGGAAGGAAGGGAGGGAGGAAGGGAGGGAGAGAGGGCACGGTGGCTGACGCCTGTAATACTGCACATTGGGAGGCAGAGGTGGGTGAATCACTTGAGGTCAAGAGTTCAAGACCAGCCTAGCCAACATGGTGAAACCCCGTCTCTACTAAAAATACAAAAATTAGCCTGGAATGGCAGTGCGTGCCTGTAGTCACAGCTACTCAGGAGCCTGAGGCAGGAAAACTGCTTGAACCTGGGCGGGAGAGGTTGCAGTGAGCCAAGATTGTGCCACTGCCCTCCAGCCTGGGCAACAGAGCAAAACTCCATCTCAAAAAGAAAAAAAAAGAAAGAAAACACAAATGGAAATAAATTCTCTGGTTTTTTCTCAGTTTATTCAGATTTGCTCAAAGTTCAAGAGAAGTTTAAATGACACCTATTATCTATCAAACCTTCAATGGCTCAAAGACTAAATCATGATAAATTTTCATTTATATATGAAAACTTTTTCTTCCAGTCATAATCGTTGCATATGTCAATTTTTTTAAATTACTGGATATTTTAATACCTTTATTAGAGATGTAAATGATAAAGGACCTGATTGTAGGACTTTATGGGCCCCCCCAAAAAATGCCCTCATAACATAAACTAAGACAAATTGTTTAAAATTACTTATGTATCATAATTTTTTTGGAGACAGGTTCTCTGTCACTGAGGCTGGAATGCAATGGTAGGATCATAACTCACTGTAGTCTCAAACTCCGAGGCTCACATGATCCTCTTTCAGCCTCCCAAAGTGCAAGGATTGCAGGTGTGAGCCACTGCATCTGACCTAGTATTTAAATTTTTAAACAGCTAATTTTTTTTTAAGTCTCTGGATATCTTTATTTTAGTGGAAGATAATTGTTATCATTAAGTGAACATTTTAAATAAGTGTTATCATTTATTGCATGCTTACTCTGTGTCATGAGTGTTCCATATATTTTATAGAGGTTTAATTTATTTTATTTATATACTTATTTTTTAGAGACAGGGTCTCACTTTGTCACCCAGGCTGAAGTATAGCCTAGAACTCCCAGGCTCAAGTAATCCTCCTGACTCAGTCTCCCACATAGCTGGGGCTACAGGAATGTTCCCCAATGCCTGGATAATATTTAAATTTTTTTCAGAGATTGGGGGGTCTCACCTTGGGGGTTGCTCAGGCTGATCTTGAACTCCTGAACTCAAGTGATCCTCCTGCCTCAGCCTCTCAAAATAGCATGAACCACTGTGCCCAGACCATTTTATTTTTTAAAAAGTTACACATTCACAAGTACAATCAAAAGTTGAAAAGGAATACACAGTGAAATTTTTTTTGTCCACCCAACTACCAAAATTCAAGAAGTTTAGTGCTACCATTTTCTGTGATTATACAGCAAATATGTATATGTATATGTATCACCTACTTGCCTCTCATTTTTGCACTGTTTTATACTTTGCTTCTTCCAGTTAACACTATGTCTTGACAATATCTCATGTCATAACATAAATATTTCCTCATTCCTTTTTCTGACGTGGTTCAGGTTGAGTGTCATAGTCTATTTAGTGTTGATATAAAGAAAAACCTGAAGCTGAGTAATTTATTTAATTTAATTTTTTTTCTTTTGAGACAAGGTCACTCAAGCTGGAGTGCAGTGGCATGATCACGGATCAATGCAGCCTCTACCTTCCAGGATCAAGCAATCCTTCTGTCTCAGGCTCCCTTGTAGCTGGGACCATGGGCATGTATCATGGTAGTAGCTAATTTTTTTACTTTTTATTTTTTGTGGAGACAGGGTCTCACTTTGTTGCCCAGGCTCATCTTGAACTCCTGGGCTCAAGGATCCACCTGCCTCAGCCCCTCAAAATGCTAGCATTGTAGGCATGAGCCACCGTACCTAGAGGCTGGGTAATTTATAACACACACACACAAAAGGTTTATTTGGCTCATGATTCTGATGTCTGAAAAAGTTCATGATTGTGAATCTGCATCTGGTAAGGGCCACAGGCTGCTTCCACTCATAGAAGAATGGGAAGGGGAGCCGACGTGTGCAGAGATCAAGAGAGAAAGAGGAGGTGCCAGGCCCTTTTTAACAACTAGCTCTTGTGGGAACCAAGAGAGTGAAAATTGATTCACTCCTCCCCCTGGGAGGTTGGGGGGATTAATCCATTCATGAGGGATCCACTGCAAGGCCCAAACACTTTACATTAGGCCCCACCTCTAACATTGGGAATCAAATGTCAACATGGGGTTTAGTGGAACAAACTTCCAAACCATAGCATTGAGTATCTCTAAGCCAAAAATCTGAAATCTGAAATGCTCCTAAATTCAAAACTTTTTGAGGGCTCACATGCCACAAGTGGAAAATTCCATGCCTGGCCTCATGTGACAGATTGCAGTCAAAACACAGTCAAAACTTTGTTTCATGCACAGAACTGTTAAAAATAGTGTATAAAATTACCTTCAGGCTATCTGTATAAAGCATACATGAAATATAAATGAATTTTGTGTTTAGACTTGAGTCCCAAGATATCTCATCATGTATATGCAAATATTCCAAAATTCAAAAATATTCAAATCTGAAACATGTCTGTTCCCAAGAATTTTGGATAAGGGATTCTCAACCTGTAGTTGATTGCATAAGTCCATCAAAACAACCCTTATGGATGGAGATTGAGGTTGTTTCCATACCTTCCCTACCGTAACAGTATTACAATAAATATCCACATATAGGTATCAATTCACTCATCTGTTTGAGAAATTCTAGCAAGAGGAATTGCTGGTTGTAAAGTATGTATGTGAGCCAAGCACAGAGGCTCAAGACTATAATCCCAACACTTTGGGAGGCTGAGGTGGGCAGATCTCTTGAAACCAGGAGTTCAAGATCAGCCTGGGCAACAGGGCAAAACCCTGTCTCTATATAAAATACAAAAATTAGCCAGGCATGGTGGCACATGCCTGTAGTCCCAGCTACTGGGGAGGTCGAGATGGGAGGATCACTTGAGCCTGGGAGGTCAAGGTTCCAATGGGCCATGCCTCTGCACTGCACCCTGGGCAACAGAGTGAGACCCTGTTTCATAATTAAATTAATTAATTAAATTAAAAAATAAAGTATGTGGGCTTTAATTTTTGATAAATGTCACCAACTGTCTTAGGTAATGGCTACACTAATTTATACTCCCCTAAGCAATGTGTGAGAGTACCTATCTCCACTAGACTCTTACCAACAAATGTATTTTTAAACTTTTTGATCTTTGCTAATAACATTCAGTGGAAATGCCTTAGCACTGATGCTCTAAACAGATATTGTCACTAATCTCTATAACAGTAAGTACTATTATTATGATTTTACATATGAAAAAAATTAAGGCTTACAGAGGTTAGGTAACTAGATAAAATCATTCAGAGAAAAGTAGAAGAATCTAGATTGCACTCCTGTTTGTGTCTTAAAACAACTGCTAAACCCAAAGTATTTCCATTAAGAAATACAGTCAAATGGCCTCAAAATGTAAATTGAATTTCTCATAATTACTTTTAATGATTCAAAACTATTCCAGATAGTTCAGCAAGATTTTACAACCTCTTCATGTCCTTATCAGTATAATCACCACTGAACAATAGCTATGTGTCCTCGTTTAAAAAGCAGCCTAGTAAATAGATGCCAGGTGAACTGCCTATAATGGTCTCATATGACATCACCAATTTGAAAATTGTATTCCATCCCCCAAAGCTTCAGCCCTCATTCTCCACACTCAGTGGCTCTGTCTCAGTTAGTTAAGCACAGATGGATAAAATGATACAATTTAAGTAAAACTTCATTAAGCCTAGAATGCTGAAATCACAACCTTCTGGAAATCTTAAAGATAACATGAGGATTGCAAGATGATTATCCACAGTTCAAGATGATTGGCAAATATAAGGTGTGATCTTCATCAAATGGAGATAGCATCAGTCTGTAAAACAAACAACCAAAAACTATGAGACTATTCTTTGCCACCCTTTGACAGTATTGGAGAGAATGTGCGTGGGGTGGAGAACTAATTATATCAGAATCATGTGCTCACAACATCTCAAGCTACAATTTGGAGACATTATCCATGCGTTTTCTGGGTGTGGGCTTCCAGCTCTTTACAGGTTTGACTTGTTTGCAGCTCTTAGTGGCATGCAGAAGGGCTCTGCCAGAACAGGTTTCACAAAGAGAAAATGCTGGTACCTCAACTTCAGCTCACAACCACTCAATTGTGCCTTTCATTCTGCATTTCATGTCAATGGAGAAAACAGTGGCGTATCCAATAACTGGTACGGTGACAAATGGGTGGCCATATGGGAAAAAAATTAAAGTTAGAAGTCTGTTTCACACCTTGTACTAAAATGAATTCCAGATAGATAAAAAGATATAAATATGTTTAAAAGCTTGATGGAAAAAAAAATATATATATATATGTCGCAGGTGAGAGAGGACTTTTATAGTATAATACTCAGAACACATAAAAGAAAATACAAATAAATTAGACTTCCAATTAAAAAAATTCAGCATAGAAAAACCATAAATAAAGTCAAAGACAAACGACAAACTAGGAAAATTTTATTCCAACTCATATTACAGACCAAGTGCTTATTTCCCTAATGTACAAAGAGCTTCTACAAATAAGAGAAACACCAATATCCTTAGAAAAGTGAGCCTGGGATATGAGTTTACAGTTTTCAGACATGGAAATACAAATGGCTCTCAAACTCCCTCAGAAGGATTGCTAATTAAAACTACATGGTGACTGTCAAAAATTCAACAGTTAGTAGCTTCAACTGGTCAATCTATGGGGGAAACTTACGTGCTCATACATTAATGAGCATGGTAATAGTAATCTGGCAATATTTATCAAAACACAAATGCTGGCAAAGAATGGGAAGATTGAGGAAAGGATAAAAAGTAAAACAAACACAAACGCTATGCCTATTGATGCCTCACTTGTACTTTTAGGGGGAATGCAGTTTTAAAGAGGGTGGTTGGGAAAGGACAAACCCTGAAGAAAGTGAAGAAGGTTCAGGGAAGGACAGCCCAAGCAGAACACCAAATACTAAGGCCTGAGTTGAGAACAGCACACGGCCTGTGCTAGAAACAAGAGTAGCTGGAGTGGAATAAGGGAAGAAGGAGAATATTGGCAGGTATGTCAGGGAAATATTAGTAAGGCAGGACGCGGAAGGTCTACTAAGTCATTTTAAAGGCTTTGGCTTTTACTCTAAGCAGATAGAAAATCACTGGGGCATTTTGAGCAGAGGAGTGACCTCAGGTAACCTACATTTGTAAAAGAGCACTTTGCTGCTGTGATAAGAACAAAGGAGAGAACAATTAGGAGGCTTTGGTATGAGGCAAGAGGTGGCAGTGGACTGTATCAAGATGACAGTAGTAGAGGTGGTGAGAAAGGACCAGATTTAGGATAGGTTTTGAAAGCAGTCAGCTGAATTTGCTGACAGATTAGATATAGGTCGAGAGAAAAAAAGAGTCTAGAATGACTGTAGGATTTTTGGCCTGAAAAACTGGAAAGACAGAGTTGACACCAACTGAAATGAAGCACACTACAAGAGGAGCAGATTTGGAAGGAAGTCAGGTATTAAATGATTAATGTGATCAATCTGAGATGCTTGTTAGAAATGGTTTGGTTATATGAATTCTGATTTCTTGGGTGAGATCCAGGCTGAAGCTACATATTAAGAAGTCAGCCTGTATAGGAGCCAGGCATGGTGGCTCATGCCTGTAATCCCAGCACTTTGGGAGGCAGGAGTTCAAGACCAGCCGGGGAAACATGACAAAACTCCATCTCTACAAAAAATACAAAAATTAGTCAGGTGTGGTGGCACTCACCTGTGGTCCCAGCTACTTGGGAGGCTGAGGTGGGAGGATCATCTGAGTTTGGAAAGTTGAAGCTGCAGCGAGTCCCGCGATCATGCCACTGCACTCCAGCCTGGGTGACAGAGTAAGACCCTGTCTCAAAACAAAAACAACAACAAAACACCAAAATCAGAATTCAGCATGTATAAATAGTTATTAAAGCCTGAGAACTAGATGATGAGGTCACCATGGAATCAATGCAGATGGAGAGGAAAAGAGAATAAAAACTAATCTGAGAGCATGCCAACATTTAGAGGTAGGACTCATAAAGAGGAACCGGCAGGAAAAGAGATTGACAGGGGGTAAAAAATGAGGTAAAAGTAAAACAACAAAGTGTGGTGTCATATAAGTCTAACAATAATGAAACTCACCAATGTGGAGAAAGTGATCAATAGTGTCAAATACTGCTGATGGATCGAGGAAGACAAGGGTTGAGGACAGACCATTAGATTTAGCAATGCAGGTCACTAACAAACTTGAAAACACACATAGCTTTAGAGAGAGCAACAGTCGAGGCTGCAGGAAGAGGAAGATGATAACCTTTGCTCCCCATTATAAAGGTCACAGCTGACATTCCTATAATGAAACACAGGTTAACAGGAGAAAAACATAACAGATTCATATAATCAAAGTTTTACATGACACAAGAGCCTTCAGAAATGAAGCCCTAAAGACATGGGAAAACTATTTTCATTGTAGATTCAACAAAGAATGGACAGCCATGTAGAAATGAGATTAGACCAAAGTGTATGCTCTAATAGTAACAGACTAAGAGAGGATATTGAACAAGGCCTGTCTGTTCAGATTCTTCTTGGCCTCTCTGCATAATGTTTCTTCCTCTTGGTGTGGGGCAGGACCCCTCTGGAGCAAGAATCTTCCAGGAAGGAGACAGAAGGAGGAAAGGAGAGAGTAACCTTTCTAGGTTTTATGGCTTGCTATTGGGGACAGGAGTTCTCATTTCTGTGAACCACTTTGGGGAAGAGAATTCTGGTTTCCATGACTTGCTTTTAGGGAAAAACCGGGGTGAGAGACAGGAGAATAGAAGAACATCAGAAAACCTTGCTTCTGAAGCCTTCAAATCTCCTTTCATTCAAAATATATAGCATGACAAAATGCCATACTTCGGGGATATCCTGTTCTGAGTCCCCACACGGTGAAAGCATGACTGGAATGAAGTCAAGAGAGGAGGGAATCAAGTGTCTAGATATAACTACCAATTCACAGGAAATATAGAAGAATGATGAACATGTTAAACAAAACCATGAGGCTGCAAGCAGCCGAATCCAGAATGTGGGAACTTCTACAGGAAAAATGATCTGGTTTTTTTTTGAAACAAATCATATAAATGGCATGAAAACATGGGGGAGGAATACTGTTAGAGATGACAAAATACTTAATAAATGTATCAGCCAAACACAATGTGTTTAAAGGCTGATTTGAGCAAATCTATATTAAAAAGAGGTTTTTGAAACAATCTAGGAAATTTAAAACCTCGTTGCATATTTATTTAGATTTGTTAGATATGATAACTGCTGTTGTGACTGACATTTTAAAAAGTCATTATCTGTTAGAGATGTGTATTGTAGTATTTACAGGTAAAATAATATGATGTCTGGGATTTGCTATGAAATACTTCAGAACACAGACAAAGGCAAGGTTGTCAGAATAAAAATAATCTCAGCACCTTGGGAGGCCAAGGCAGGTGGATCACGAGGTCAAGAGATCGAGACCATCCTGGTCAACATTGTGAAACACCATCCTACTAAAAATACAAAAATTAGCTGGGCATGGTGGTGCGCGCCTGTAGTCCCAGCTACTCGGGAGGCTGAGGCAGGAGAATTGCTTGAACCCAGGAGGCGGAGGTTGCGGTGTGCCGAGATCACGCCATTGCACTCCAGTCTGGGTAACAAGAGCGAAACTTGGTCTCAAAAAAAATGATTCTTTGAAGATGAGACCCGATGACCTGAAATGGTCACTTCTGACTGTTGCTTGAAGTAGAAATAAACATCTGTGTGGAGATGTACATATCATGTAGATATAACAGAGGAAACAGCCACTGGTAGAGGGGGCTGCACGGGAAGTGCTCATCTAGGGGAGATTCAGGTTTGGGATCCAGCAAGGCAGAGAAAACAACCTTCACAGAGCTGGTGGAGAGGCTGTAGGAGCTTTGCTGAGGACAAAGCAAGCATTAGAGTGAGCACAGGAAATGTTTTGAGAGTAGAGGAGGGAGAGTGTTTTGAGAGTAGAGAAGGGAAGAGAAGGAGATTACACAGCCACGTGGGGACTGGAGTAAGGGAGGGTGCTCTGGGAGTCCATGGCTTCTTGTAGCATTGATGTAAACAGGGAAAAAGGGATAATGTGAATGATCCTGATGGTTGCAGGTAGATCATGTTGGCAAGGCTGTGAGTATTTGGGGTGGGGAGGAGTGAGGCCTTTCCAGAAATTCTGAGGCCTCCTCTTTTCTTCACACAGAAGTGGGATGACAGCAGTCTGAATGCCAGCACAGGGTAAGAGAAACAGCTGTCATCTGTCAAGGACATATCTCTCTTGAAGAAACATAGGACTCTCCTCAGATTTCTGGGTTAAAGCTTCTGATGTTTACTAGAGGTTTCTTTCCAGCCTCCTGTTGGGACAAAGTAACAACGAAGCCCACGGGATGAGCAACACAAGATAGGTTCTTTCCCAGCACTCAGGCTCTGCTCACTAAGTCATGGCAGGAGTCCCTTAGGAGTGGGGAGAAATTCCTGTCCAAATGGATTCCTGCTGCCTGCAGAGTCATCTTCTGCTTTCAGTCTCTAACTTCAGAATGGAGGGTCTGTTCTTTGCTAGTGTAACCTTCCTAAGGTCTCAAAAACGTACCTTCCATTCCCCTTCACACATACACATGCATTTATGCATGTAAGTGTGCACACGTGAGCAGAGAATTCGAGCCCACTTCCTAGCTGATGGCCAACATCTACAAAGGTGGTATGAAATGAAAGAAGGATTGGCACACTGCAGTGATGATGTTCATCTAGACAACTAAGTGTTAGGGGATGAGACTATAGAAGAAATGTACAGAAGAGCCCCGTCAAAAATCCCTTCACTACCCCACATACCAACTAGTCTTTGGGTTTAACACATTTCTTATTTAAAAGGCAGTTTAAATCTGTGACATTTAGAAGGCATACATCCTTTTTAAAAGAACACTTTGGTTTATTCTTGTATCATTCCATGGAAATAATATTTCAAAGGGCCTCACGGTTAGAAAAAGTTGACTTTTTTTTTCTCAAAGTTTGAAGAAATTAGAAGCATATATTTATCTCCTCTGGATCTTCTCTGAGAGAATCCATGTTGTGAGAATTTGTCTAACATCCAAGTCATTTTTTTTTTCTCTTTGGATTTGCCCTATGGAATAACTAAGCCACATTTATTATCCATTTGTGAGGGATTATAATTCTTTTGAGGCTTTTCCTGGCAAATCCCCCAGATTCTTCCTGTTGCATTTCTAGTTTATGAATCAAGCCTTTCATTTATTTATTTATTCAACAAGTATTTCTTTCCTTAGCAACCAGTCTAGCATGGCTTTATCCTAGGCACTTATGAGGTTATAAGGGCAATCCATTCCCAATCCCTCAAGAGTTTACAGTCTATTTGGGAATGACAAGAAAGAAAGAGAGAGAAAAGAAAAAAGGAAGGAATCAAGAAAGAGAGAAGAAAAAAATACATGTAAAGTAATTAAAATACATGTGATCATAAATTCAAAAAGAAATATGTGAAATCCATGAAAACTATAAACCATTATTGTGGGACAAGAGAAAAAGCTTATAAAATGGAGAGACTTACTGGGTTCCCGGATGAGAAGAATCATTATAGAATGGTATCACATATGCTGAAATTAACCTAAAATCTAATTTATTTTAATAAATAAAAATTTAAAATTTAAAAACTTGACAAGTTTAAATTTAAAATTTAAAAACTTGATGAATTTAAATTTAAAATTTCCAACTCAAAATTTAAAAACTTGATGAGTCAATCAAATAACTACTAGGAAAGATATTTAGGAGCCAAAAAAAATTTCTTTGAAAGAGAAGAGCCAGCAATCCTGCTTGTAGGTATATATTCAAAAGAACTGACATCAGTATGTTGAAAAGATGTCTGCACTCCCATGTTCATTGCAGCACTATTCACAATAGCCAAGATATGGAATCAATCTAAGTGTTCATCAATAGAATGGATAAAGAAAATGTGGTACATATACACAATGGAATACTATTCAGCCTTAAAGAAAGAAGGAAATTTTGTCATTTACAACCTAGATAAACCTGGATGGAGGACATTATGCAAGTGAAATAAGCCAGGCACAAAAAGACAAATTCCACCTGTTCTCATGTTTATGAGGAATCTAAAAAAGTGGAACTCATAGAAACCAGGAGTAGTTACCAGGGATTGGGGGTAGAATGTTGGATGGGGACAGGGAGATGTTGACTAAAGGGTACAAAGTTTCACGTAGGAGGAATAAGTAAGTTTTCAAGATGTATTGCACACACAGTTACTACTACTAAGAATAATGTATTGTATATTTCAAAATTGCAAAAAAAATTTTTAAATGCTATCACTACAAAAAAATAAGTATATGAGGTGATGGATAAATTTGACATAATCATTCCATAATGCATACAAATATCAAAACACCACATAGTGCCCCATGAATATATACAATTATTGTCAATTAAAAACAAAAATTTGAATTAGAAAACAGGAAAAAAATGGCAAAGAGTAAGTGAAAAATTTGCCCTAACAGATATCAAAAATACCTTATAAGCCTATAATTATTAAAGCATTACAACAACTGTTTAAAAAAGACTCAAAAAAGAACAGAAAATCTGCTTAAAATCAATTGGAAGTTAATGCTTTTAATGAGGAGTTTTCATATGCTGGATACTAATCTAATTTTTGATGATAGACCATGGTATTTTTTTCAGTTTTCAATTTTTAATTTTTGTAGATACTTAGGTGTATATATTTATGGGGTAATGAGATGCTTTTTTTTTTGAGATAGAGTTTCACTCATCACCCAGGCTGGAGTGCAATGGCATGATCTCAGCTCACTG